GCTTGTTATTGTTGTGCCACTACAAAAGTCATAGGGAATACAGATATCACCGCCTCTCCATTTTCTTGTGCTGTCCTGTAGTAAATCTGTATTGTGTTGCAGGAGCTCTTGGCAGTTTTTTCCTATTTGATCAGATAATAAAAAATTTATCAGTTTGTCCTATCAAAAGCAATGAAGAAAGTTTACACCCCTTTCAGCCAATTTTCTTGTTGGAAGTTCCCCAGTATTTTATTGGACATGTTTCCTTAAAGGTTTTTCCCACAGATGATTTCTTTTACATTGGCTTCACAAAGTGATTATGAAGTCTGAAGGTAGACAGAAGGAAGGCAGCAGATTCTTGTAAGACGACTTGAAATTTGCTGCAGCTGATACAAGTCCATTATCATTTTAATAGTACTTGAAATACGCAACAATCAACAGTCTGAGAAATGACTGTAAAAAATCTCATGGTTCTCGTGCATCAGTGAGACTCCAGGTGAGTCTTGTGTTTATTGCCTTCTTGCTGCATGGACTTCATAAGAATAAGAGCAGACTTTGGCTTATTTACTGAGCTAACTGGTGGTATCCAGTGAGTTACAGGACAGTGAAGCTCAAGAGACCTGGTATGCCTTTAAGGACAACCTCATTGGAGCACAAAACACTAGTCCATACAGATGCTCAGGAAAGTGAGTAGACATGTGAGGAGAGCAGTGTGGAGGGAACTCACGACTGAGCGTCAGCGCAGAAGACTCATGCAGGAGGTAGAAGTGAGGACAAGTTTGCTCAAGGATATAAAAATACTGCCTGCATATGCAGAGATGGTATTAAGAAAGGCAACATTCCAGTAAAGTTGAAACTGGTAAGGGACATCAAATGCAACAAGAAGAACTTCCAGCACTGCATCAGCAGTTAAAGCAGAAAAAAGAGAAACGAGGGAAATACGGGCTTGCTGCTGACCGTGACAGGTGATTTAATGACAGTGAATATGGACAAGGCTGGGGCACTTGGTGCTATCTTTGCCTTGGTCTTCACCCGCAGGGTCTCCTGGGCCTTTGTACCTATAGATGGTGCTCAAAGTGGAAGGTAACTATCAATAGTGGAAGAGGATTTGTGTCAGGGTTCTCTTTTGGATATGGAGAAAGCATCTTTGCATGCTGTTGGGTATAGGGCGCAAGTCTTTTAAAATTAGGAATGCTAATGAGGACTTGGAAAAAGAATAAGCAAGCCAGTGAAGTAAATGTTTGGGATGAATATGAACGGTTGTGCATAGTGTTACTTCAAAATTTTTAATACAGAGTCTCTTCCATTTGGCTTGTCAACAAATCTGAAGTGTTTTTGAAAGTAACATCTCCTGCTGTTAATGAAGCTGGACAGTTATAAAGTCATGCACTGCTGTCTGCTGCTTTGAATTCTTGAAAAATGTGGTTAGCAGCAGGTTGCAAACCAGATTTTCTCATAAGAATTAGTGTAATGGATGGGAGCAGATGCCTTTTGATACTTAAGAACTGCACACAGTTGAAATATGCAGGGACAAGTAAAGAAGAAATGAAGGATAGGGAGGCAGAAGCAAGATCATTAGGACTGTTAAACAGTAGAGATGCTGGCTTTTTGGAGTGGATCACAGTTCTTACAGATTTCAGCTTTTTAATTTGTGAGAGTAAGTACACAATCATTTCCCTATTATTCTGCCCTTCATCCTTGATTGTTTTAGATTAACCTGAAGATGATGTTGACAATGATGAAAATATAACCGGTAAGGAGGAAGTAAGAAAGCTGATAAGATTAACATCATGTATACTGTCAGTGTGTATTGAAACAAAATATTTAAGTCCCTGTGTGCATCATCTCATCTTAGTACTTCTGGAAAAAATGGTTTTACCATCCATCAAACTCAGGTGCTTATCTGTGGAGCTGATGGCTAACAGAGCAGAGTGCTCAACATTCAGCAATGGAAGTTTGACACAACGGTTAAAGAAGCAACAGACAGTAAGATGTTCCTGTATCTGCCCTTTTTTTTCTGAGCAATCTATATAAAGTTCCTCTAGATATCACTGCTTTTGGATATTTCAAATTAGGATCAGGTATTAGGGTCCAGAGGAAAGCCTGACTGATCTGCCACAAAAGGTTAGAATTTGTTAATGCTTTTCTGGACCTGTCATTAAATGAGTTTATGGGTTTCAGTCCATGCTTAAAATCATGACGAGCGTTCCAATGAGATGACAAAACAAGCATGATGCTGTTGCAGACTTACTCCTAAAAATTCTGTGGTACCTTTGGTCATCAGTATTAGTCTCTCTCTGTGTCTGTTTTATGAAGGACGGGCTGAACGGAATTTGTACTCTGCACAGACCCATATCTCTCACTTTGCCCCACTGGCAGAAAAAGGTCAGCTTTGTGTTTACTGCTTTCTTTACCGCGTTCCCAGACAGTTCTTAGTAATAGACGTGTATGGGGCCCAGATTAAGGAGTGCATCATTAGATACTGTATTAGATACTGTATTATGTTTCAAGAACAGATTGCTTTAATAAGGGAATGTAATGCAATTTGAAACAAATTTCCTGATGCTTGGAGTACTGTAGTCTCTCATCTAATGTATGACTTCACATTTGCAAAGGATCCAGATCGTTCGTTCTACATCCAAAGATAACTGTGGGAGTGGTGTAAGGCGTAGTGTTTTAGTTCCATATGTAGGTTGGTGTGTGCCCGTCTCAACTTCCTGCAATACCACTCTTTTGGAAAGACCAAACAATGAGCAGTAGCGTGCAGCAGTTTGTCCCATGGATTTTGATTTCCTGTCTTGATGAGGTTCTTGGTAAGGACTGGCTATTTATTACTGTCCCTCCTCTTCTTGGATTATATGTTCAGGAGAAGCCACTTCACCTAAGTCTCACCTCCAGCCCTTCAAGACTGAGTGATCATTCTACCCACGTGTAAGAAATCTTGCTCAAGAGATGTTAAAGAGATTTTTAATAAATTAAACCTTGGTGGCTTTGTTCCCCCCCACCCCCCCAGTGCAGCTGATGAACCTTCACCATGTCTCATCTTTTTTGAGCAGGCATTCCACTTGTTTTAAATTATGAAGTTTGTTAAGAAGTGGTTTGTTGTTTGTCATTCTGAAATTTACATTTTTTTCACATTCTGTAATATCAGTAATTCTTCAGAAGTATTCTACAATGGAAGCTCTCTCGGGGAGGCTTCCAGACCTAGTTTGTGCTTTGGCCAGATTGTTCTTCAGTTACTCTTTGGTAAGATTTCAGTGCCCAATGTCCTGTCATAAGCTCCTTGCATGGAAGGTGCCCAAAGTTGATTGGAGAAGGTCAGTTGAAGAAGGAAATTATTCATTACTTTCTATGGGAGTCTTTTGAAGCAAAAAATCTTAATAAGGCTATCTTTGTTTCATGTGACCCTGTCCTTCTCCCTACTTTTTCTAGACAGTTGACATCACTGCTGTCAAATTTGACTTAGATTTATTTTGAAAAATATACAAAATCTGCATTGGTTTGTTATTCACCTATTGAGACAAATGATATTGTTGATAAAACAGCATTTTTTTGTGCCATAAAGCATAGTTTTACAGTAAAGTGTTAGAAGAAAAGAAAGCTTTAATTTGTTGTCAATTGTTGGAGCTTTCTAGGGGTTTGGACTTGTTTTTTAATATTTATTATGTGCTTCTGCATACAAGTCCTACTTTAATAGGTTCAAATGCTCTCATATGATATGTTCCTGTCTTGTCTTACTGCACTCATAGAAATGTGCTGTCTGATAGTGTTGTGTTGCTTGATCTCTGCTGATCTGTTTCTCATTTTTAGAAAAGTCACCTAAGATGTCACTAAAGGTATGATATTTAAAAGATATTCAACACTGCTTTTATTTCATGTTATGCTAGGTTATGTACTCATTTTATGATTTACTTGAAGTCTTGAATCTGTTCTTTCAGAACTGCTAAGCTGAATTGAGGTTTTATAGCAGTAATGCACATTCTAGCTGTCAGAAGAATCTGGTGGTGGTTTTGGGGGTTTTTGTTTTGTTGTTTTTGTTTTTTTTTTTTAAGATAATTGTTTGGTGGTAGCATTAATATAGAAACATTTCCTAGCTGATGGCAATGATTGTCAGAGTAGGTTTTCTCATGGCATGCTCATGTTGACTTCCCAGCTGCAGAAAACTGGCAGAGTTTAATACAGTTCTATTAAAAAGCCAAAATCTTATCAGTCAGACTTTCAAAGTATTACATTGACATATCTGGGTCTGTTGTTTATTGTTAGTTTTAACAAGAGTGATTCAAGACTACTACCATAAAACCCATGTGTTCACAGCTGCTTATTGGACCATGTAGCCCAATTCTGCATTTTATACAGAGGTGCAACAGGACAACATTTTAAATGTGGACTCTCAAAGCAAATTTGTAATTCCACAACCTTTAAGTATTTCACAATAGACAGATGTTTGCAGTCAATTCAGTTGTAAATACTTATATATATACACAAACACACAGATTGGGAGAAAGTATAAAACAATGGGGTTTTTAATATATTTAGAGTATAAAACAATGTCTGCACTTATGAAGCTTATATAATACATTATACACCCCCCCAAACTGAAAGGAATATAAGATTGTAATAGCTTAATGTACTCAAGTGTACATAGTTATATCTTTTCGTATAATGCTTCTGTTAGTATTAACATGAGCTGGCCATATGAATACTAACAGAATGTTAAATTCCTTAGTCTACAGAGTGAAGTGTTATTGCAAGATGTAGAAGACACAGAATTTGCTTCTGAGCATTATAAAGAAAAATAATTTTTTCTTTTCCAAAACTGTTTCTGGAGAGATTAATATTTGGGGTAGAAAATGTTAAATAGGATACTAATTTTTCTGAGTCTATCAGATGCTCCTTCAGGTACTGAATAGCAGAGGACAGAATAGAGCACTGTTTGCAGGAGTGATGAAAGCAAGCTAAAACTAAAATATTACAGCATTTTGATGTTTAAGAAAATCATGTAGCTGTATTCCAATTTTCAGAGCAGTGGAAAGAGTTCTGTGTTGGAAAGTCTTGTGGGGAGGGATCTGCTCCCACGAGGTACTGGAGTTGTCACCCGGAGACCCCTTATTCTGCAGCTGGTGCATGTTTCCCCAGAGGATGGTCGGAAAACAGCTGGAGATGAAAATGGTAAGTGTGATCCAGGAGTGTGTTTTGCCTTGTAGGAAAGAGACTTTTAATCTTTCTTGTTCATTTGACTGAAAAATCAGTTGTAATCTTAAAACTTGCGTGTGCTTTTTAAAATTTACTTGGAAGAAAACACAGCTGTTATCACATCTGTTCTGTCCATTTAGCAAATGTCATGAAGTCAAAATCTTTTGGATATTCAAAATATCTTTAACGTTTTAAGTTTTCCTGTTTGTTCTTAGGAAATGCTTTTGAGAAAAGCAGGCCAAAGAAAGCATTTCACTTATGATGATTGTTTGGAGTATAGAAAACATGATTTTCTTGTGTGTGCTTTTCTTCCCCTCCCCTTTTGCTGTATAAATAAGGTTTTGCCTTGAGAGGATGAGTATGTGACAGAGAAATGAAAACAAACTTGTAGTAGATGCAAACAATTTAATGGGCACATTTTGTAGCTTACAGATGCTGCCTTACTGGGCTGCACTGAGAGGTTCCATGCACATCAAAAGCAACACTTTAAATGTTCTGAAGCTGTCTAGTTTGAAGCTTGTGTCTTGCCTATTGTTACTATATTATCCTTTGGCAGATCAAGAAAGCAATTTCAGTTGCCCCTTGGGAGTTTAAACGCTCATTCTATACTAACTAGTGCTCTTGATCTTATGAAAGAGAAGCAGGGGCATAGCCACCTTCTGATCATAAGATAAATCTTAGCTTTTTGATGTAGACAGTAAAAAGTACACAGGCTTTTGATGGTGTGATAAACTTGGGGCTATAATTATTAATTCTCATTGTGTTCAGACTTTTTGGAATTTATTAGCAATAGTAAGTCAAGGTATCAAAAAAGTTCTTCACAGTATTCGTTTTCATGTAATATTTGTAGCCTTTGGTTTCTGAAGAACAGTTACTAATATTGTGCAGTTTGAAAGGTTTAAGCTCCAATTTTCATTATTGCCGCAAGCAGAGAGCACAATTTGGGTTCATAACGATTAAGAACTTTTAGTGTGCGATCTAGGGTGTGCTGGATTGTGAGAGGTTGTAGGACAATTCAGATTGGAAATGATCTCGGGAGGTCCCTAGTCCAACCTCCTCCTCAAAAAAGGGCTAACTATGAACACAAGACCAGGTTGCTTGGGGCTTTATCCAGCTGGGTCTTGAAAACGTCCAAGGGTGGAGAACTCTGAGAGTCTCTGGGCAACCTCTTAGAAGTGGCACATTTGATCTCTAAGTGTGGTTTTATGTTACTTACATTGTGTAGTGTATAGTTTCTGGTACTTTTCAGAATGCCTTGATTCTGAGTTGTGGGATAAAATATGATTTTGTTTTGCTCTGCAACTTTACAGGTATAAAAGATGGTTTTGTAATTAGAGTATTCTGAGTCAGGGCAGAGCCTTTCTGTTGTGGGTTGCATTTGATCTGGGGATTCAGATTTTAAATTTAAAATGGGATAATGATATTATTGCATAAGGATGTTGGGCTAAATTAATATTTATAAGGCCCATTTAGATCTTTGGGGGGGGAAATCAGTATGTAAGATGTACATGTTATAATCTCTTCTTGATGTTCCTTTGAGAGAGACGTGGGCTTTTTTGGTAAGAACAGACAAACCTTTATGACTTACCAGTTGTGTTTGAAGTGCCTCTCTTCTACCTCTAAAATTCAGGCAAATTGCGGTCTGGTTTTGTCACTGATCTTGTTTACCATACGTATAGATTGTGGTGTTATATCTGAGAAGATGGGATCAAGTAGCTTGGAAGGAAAAAAGATGGCAACCTCTTATCCTGGCTATGCTGTCTGACATTGTAATAAGTTACTATACTATTACAGGTCATATTTTTGTTTGTTATGAGTTGGATGTTGAGGTAGGGTTGGATACGTGTTTGGGATTTCCCAGAGGTAAATCTATCCATAGTCTTGCAGAAAAGGATTTTCTCCAGATGAGGGGTTTCTTCTTTATAAATTGAATATTGGACAAGAGAATATCAGTCTCAGCATGCTGGTTTCTGAGTGTGCTGGTAATGAACTCTCTGTGTTCACAGATACTTTTATGCAACTGCCTCTTTGTTTTGTGGTTTGTTTTGTGATTTGTTACATTATCCATCCTAATGCTTGGTCTAGATATGTACTAGTATTACAAATTGCCTTGTCTTTATGACTATGAAGGAAAAAATTGTGTCTCTTCAACAGCTTAATTTTGACATCTTCTGATGCATGTGAGCTGCCAAAGAGTACCAGTTCATATCAATTTAGGGTTTTTGTTTGGTTGGTTTGGGTTTTTTTTTGTTTTGGATTTTTTTTTTTTAATTTTTTATTTTAGTCTTGGGAGCACATTGGGAAAGACTGTTGAGAAAGAATTGCAGCCAGACACTTGAACTAACTTCTGATTTTCTAACATGAAACTTTAAAGATCATCTCTCCTGTTCCTCAAAGTCACTGATGAGCTATGTGATACCCTTGTACTGTGGTCACTGCAATAATTCAAGGTAATCAAAAACCAGCAGAGAGATTAATTTTCCATTAAATAAGAAGTGCTGTATTTTCATAACATGGTATTTCAGACTGGTACATATATTCTTCAGAGGTGTATGGTTTGGTGTGAAGGAAATGTTCTTATTATGCTTTTGTTGTTTATTGTTAGCCTCTAGTGGCTACATGGGACATATAGTAGCACATATGGTATGTTTGATGTGGTGATACCACACTGTGGGGTTCTCTTATCAAACTGCAAGAGAAGCAGTGTTTACGAGAGAACTGGGCCTGGTCTCGTGAATTATCAAATTGGTCTTGTAGCTAAGACCTATTGTGGTAGCCTATCCATTTGTTAGGAAATGGAGAAGAGGAGGAAATGTATGAATGGTCAATTAGTAAATGTTTATAGGTTCTTTTTTTGGTCCAGAATAGGAACCTGAACATTGTTCTGAACAGATAGAATTGATATGGAACACAGGAATAATTAATACAGATCAGTTGCTTGCTAAATCAACACTGTTTTGTCAGCTTTTTGTGCTCTACTTCAGATAGGAATCTCTTACCCCTAGCTCCCAAACAGTGTGGACTGCTTGATTGTACTTCGCTCTGTAGAAGCACAAGAGAAAAAGAGCTTTCACTCAAAAGAGCTTGCCATCTAGTTAGCGTCAAGGGTGGAAAAAATGGTACAACATACAGAAGGGATTGGAAGATGTGCACATGTTTTTTTCACAAGTTGGATTTTTTTTTTTATTACTTATTTTATTTAGAGACCTAGGAAAGGATGAGGCGATGGGGGGGGGGGAAGAGAGTTCAGATGGTAGTCTACTGGGTCCAAGAGCTGTGAAGGTATGGGAACTAGAAAGCTAGGAAAACAGTTAAGATTCTTCATGCTTTGCTGATTTTTATCCTTTTTAGTATTTGGGAAGGTCTCGTTGCCCTGCTGCAAGAAATGCTCTGTGGTGGTAGTCTTTTATGACTGAACAACTTCTTTGTGTTTCCATTGTCTATGAAGAACATTTCTACTGCTTTATGAAGGGAGGAGAGATACATGAATGACTGAAGTCAGTTAGCATTGTACTGTATTTGAACTTCTTAAAGGAGCATTGCAGTATAGGGGTTAACAGTCCTGAGAAAAAGAACATAATCATGTCTAGTTGCCCAGTATATCAATTAAAGTTTTCAGGTCTCACTCCAAGATATGAAAAGCTAGAAAAGCAAGCAGACTGTTGCTTTATTCAGGAGATGTTTTTTTGAAAGGCAGGGTCTGTTTTTTCTTAATGGCTGCTGTTTTAATAATTTCTTACAATCTGTAATAATTTTATAATTACCAAAATGTCATTTGTACACACTTTTATCTAGCATGGAATCTTGAGTATAATCAGGAGATTAATTCACCTGAAAGTTTTGTCTGAAAAGCTTCCAGAAAGTAACATAACCAGGGGAAGACTGATTTACCAGTGCAACTAGTGATAAAAAAAATGTTCTACATGTAAACCAGAACATTGGGTTGTTGAATGTAGGCTAATTAAAATATTTTCTCCTTGTCTTGATTGTCCTTGCATTTTGAGTAATGCAAATCCCTCCTCCTTTCCTAAAATCTCCTTTGCATTAAATTAGAGCTATTGGGAAATTTTTCTCAAATATTAAAGGAGTGTCAGTACAGACTTCCTCTGAAGAGTGGGGCAAGAGTTCATCTCCTGTATAAAATGAAACTTCTAAAAGCTTATACTTGGACCAGATGAGATTTTCTGTACATATCAGGAGCCTGCATTTATTCCTTAACTTTTTTCTTTTTTTTTTTTATGTGCACCAAGACTGAGGTTAGGACTAAGCCATTTATCGTGGCTTCAATCTTGTGTTATATATAGCAAAGAAAACTTGTAGCTTGTTAAAGCTTAAAAAATTTTCAGTCTCCTTTGATCTGTAGATGTTAACAAGTTAAAATGCAATGCCTCTGACTAGAATGCATCTTTTTTAATATGTATTTTAAAAAGTTAATAGATTATACTAAACCAAGACATTTCTTTATACATAGAACTAAGCCTAGTACCTAGCTGGAAATTCCTATGCCAGCACAAACTCAGTAATTTAAGGCTAAAACAGTGTGTCCTAGGAGGACATCATCTCCTTAGGAGGGACATAACAGCAGAGTGCTTGGTCCATACCTTTCACATGTAATGGTGGCAGTACCTTGCTGTATCTTTTTCTTCTTGGCTTTATGCCTGTGTTTACTTCCTTAGATTCAATTTTTAAGAGGGGAAGGATGAGCAATACAATCTTGAAGATACTGTAGTTTCTTCCTGTATGTGCATTTTGCTTTATTTCCTCTGAACTGTAAATAAACTAAAACTGTTTAATAACCTGGAATTAATAAGCCCTATCATTTTGCAATTATTTTGGAGACTGGTATGTAATTTTGCCTCTTTACTAACCAAGACAAACAAAACCTGCCTCCTAACAATGGTTTCTTCATAGCTCATGTGCCTGCAGAACAGTAAGGATAAAAGCAGTTGGTTTTAAAAATTTGTTATCTTAATGGATCCACTCCATCTAAATCAATGTATTTCCACTGATGATAAAACTTTGACTTCCACCTAAGCAAGACATTAAAATAACTCCCCAGATGTATGAGGCTTTCCAAACTGAATTGATTGTTGCTGTGCTACTTGCCTTTTGTGCCAAACAGGCATGTGCCAAACGTCTTCACCGGTTTGTTTGATTCTTGCATTTCCATAGTGCTGTACTAGCATCACGTAAAAATACAGAGTTGTAAGCTCATCAACCCTTCAATAAAAAGGTTTTTCTTTTTTGTAATGGGATTTCCATAAATATTTTCAGAAAGTTAAAAGTTGAGAAGGATGATAGCTAATGTTGTCTCTTCTCAAATCTGTCTCAGAACTGCCATAATGAGTTTTTTTTAATTGAGCATTAGAAAGACTGGTACAAAACTTAAGATTTCTTTCCCATACAGTAATACGATTTCCAGTGACATGAAAAATGTTTCCTTACTCTTTGTCATTCTTGCCATGAGTAAATGACGAGGAACATATTTTGCCAAAGAAGTTCAGCTTTGTAGAACCTAATGGTGCTCTTTTCTGTGCTCAGATAAAAATATTGTGAGCTGTTGGAATTAGATGAACAGCAATAATAAAGTCATCATCAAGTAAACTTTGTTGTATAGAGTATCTGATTAATATGCATCATTTATCAGTATTTAGTTAAGATCTTATTTCTGTGCCTATTGTTAATATGTTACACATTCTCATCAATAGTAGAATAGCATGAACATCTGTCTGCATGCATTTGTGATCTTTGTAATACAGTCTGGTACTGAAAGTTAACAAAATGCTATATTAAATATGATTAAAAATTTTAAACATCATTCAATGCTGTTTCTCTTTAACTGCAGACCCTGCTACATGGAAAAATCCAAGACACCTTTCTAAAGGTTGCCTTTATCCACTTGCTTTTCCTCCCTCCACATAAAGTGCATGCTTATATACACTAAACCACATACATTTCATGCCACTTTATTGTTGATTACACTTTTACTTTTACACTTTGGCTACTGTGTTGATTGATTATTTTGCTGAGTCTTGTGATCTGGTTGATTTTTAGTTTTCTGACCTTGTTGCGTTAGAATGAGATAATTTTTGCTTTTCTTCTGTGCTGTTGCTGCTTCATAGAATTTCCTGCACTTTTAATTCCCAAATCCTTTAAAAAAATCTCTATTGCTCAGTATCTTGAAATTCAACTTGAGTGGCAAAAATGTTTTGAAAGATGACGTGATTATAGGTAACCAGTGTGTTTGCCAAATGGCCAAATTTCTTGTAGACTCTTCTTCTAGAGCAGATTGCTGTATCAGGGAGCAGAGAGGAAATGACCACAAACTAAAAATTTGAAATGGAACTTATGACTAATGCTGGGAAGTCTAGTTGTGGAAGTGTGAGTATTATGCAGCATTACTCAAACTGCTGCCTGCGCTACAAAACAGGAATTGACAAAACCTCCTTTGCTGTTTCTGGGACTGCTCTTGAATAGCCCCCAAGTAATTCCAGACATCGGTGGTGACTGACAAGAGTTAAGATGTTCGGTCCTTGGCAGATTTGGGAAGAGACATGTTCTCCTAAGACTTCATTGTTATGCAGAATTCTTACTTATTTTCTGTTTGCTTGGTTTTGGTTCTACAGGTTTTTCTAACTTTTTCTTTCAGCTGTAATTTGATCTTACTTGCATGGTAAAAGAAAAGATGCTAAAAGCTGGTATTTTTTTCAGATTTTTTAAGCTATTGCTAATAATTCTTTTGTTTTCTGTTGCAAGCTGATATTTAAGGGACTAGACCATTTCTGAAATATGGTAGGATAGCTGATTGGCTCAGTCACAATTAAGAAGGTGGACCTTGTGTAAGAGAGACAAATGAAAAAGAGTAATGAGATGCAGTGTTTAAATAGGCAGAATCATAAGCAGAATCATAAATTTGTATTGAACTGTCTACATCTAACAGTAGAAAGCAGACTAATTTTTCTGTTGCTGCTTGGGGGAAAAAAAAGCATTGTAGTTTTCAACAAACAGGTTCTTGGAAAAATGTCATTGTACATTTGCTTCCTCTTCCTCATGTATCAATTCTTTGTTTTCAGAGATAGATGCTGAAGAGTGGGGTAAATTTCTTCACACCAAAAATAAGGTATGTTTACTCTGTTGATAGAGTAGCAGTGTCATAAATATGCTATCATATATAGATATACTTAATTCTGTATCTGTTCCCTTGACTTTCCCAAAAAGGAGGTTATTTTACCTGCTATACTATATGCCAGAGTATTGAGGATTTTCTGTTTTGCTTTTTGTGAGTAGAAAAATTCTGGAAGCATTCTTTTAAACTCAAGACAGAAAGTTTATCAATGGTTGTCTGTTGTGTGGGTTATTGATTTTGCCAAGTTATTTATCTTAATCCTTTTTGTGTTATTTTGTTGTGGGGTTTTTTTTGTGTGTGTGTGTATTGGAGAAATTAGAATGGAAATTGCAAAGGCAAGGAAGTATATAGTCACAAGTAATTTCAGTCCACTGAAGAATTGGCTACTTCAGAGGTTTATTAGAAAGCGCTGAAGAGGAGGGAAGAACCTAATGCTCATGAAGGGGGAGAAGCAGAAACTGAGATGACCTAGGACTTCTATAAGAGAGTCAAAGCTTAATTCTTTGCTTGCAGACAGTCATCTTTTTGTTGGCAGATGAATTATTTAAGTGCTTATTACTTTAAACTTATTTCCTCACCTTCTAGGCAGTGCTAGAAATTGAAGGATATGTGGAGAGGAATGCAGAGGGAACCTGTGCAAGGGTAGCTCTATGCTAAGTTATTTTGGATTGATGGAAGGAGAATAGATTTGACAAGAGTGGAAATGTTTTGAAATGAAACTCCGTCCTTGTTGTTTGTCCCCTTTGAGATGAGAAGGGGTTCAGACTACATTTTGTTTATTAACTTCAAAGGATTGCAACTAGATTAGAAGTAGAATTAAGTGTTTGAAATTCTCTGTAGGTGAAAAATATTTTATACCTTGTCTGACATTGATGGGGTAGTAAGTGCTAATAACTGCCATCTCACAGTATTAATCAACAGATTAAATACCAAGATTCCAATTTCTATAATCTTTAGCACTGATGATTGCTGTTAGCATTAGCTTAAGGGCTAATAGTTGTTCTTATTTTTCCTCACCTTCTGTATACTTAGTTACAGAGTTTTTCACTTCTTGGAGAAGAGAGCATTATTTTGTAGTTAGGTAAGCGTATGCTGTCTTTGATTTTTAAACAATTTTTTTCTTTTGTGCTTCAGATCTATACGGATTTTGATGAAATTCGTCAGGAAATTGAAAATGAAACAGAGAGGATTTCAGGAAATAATAAGGTAAATGTTGCACTGTCCATCTTTGTCTTGCTATAGATTCTTTTGCTGCTTAAACCTTTCTTAAACAGTTTTGGCAGCTAGAAGTGAAAAGCATTGAACTATTCTAATGAAGAACACAGTAATGCTGCTTGCTATCGTAAGATTTTTTCACTGTGTTTGTGGGATAAATGACTTCAGCTAAAAGAAAATCAGAGAAATGCTGTTGGTTTACTTCAAAGCTTCTGTAGTAATAGTGAAAAAAATGAACTTTGAGTTAAACTTGTTTCCATTTGTCCACATACATGGCTTTATGTGTAATTATAAAAGCAAGTATTCTATTCTTGCCTATCTATGTAATTGCTGAATATAAAAGCTTCTATGCTTATATTGAGGGGGAAAACATGCCTGCTTCCAGAGACAAAGGAATTGGTGGACAGATGTGGCTGGCTTTTTTTTCCTCAGTTGTAAGGTGCATGATGGAAGAAAGTTTTTTTCTCATATGAAACTACAGCTTTTGGCTTTCTAAAGGGTGCATTTAAACAATCCAGTACAGTGATTAATTTTTATTATTAATATATTTCTAGGGGATCAGTCCTGAACCTATTCATCTTAAGATTTTTTCATCTAATGTTGTAAATCTGACTCTTGTGGATTTACCTGGAATGACAAAGGTAAGATGTGGAATGCTTTTTTTTCTGACTCATTGTGAACAGTGTGTTTTGAAATGAGTGTATGTTCACTATTTGGCATTATTCTGTATTGTTAGATAAATAGCTTTCCTCAGGTTAAGTAGGTGGTTATATAAATTCGAGATGTCACCATCTTCTGGTGTAAGATCTGGTTTTCTGGTGCTGGTTTCTGATGACAAGATGACTTCTTTCCCTGCCTATGCACACGTACATACCCCACTCTGCCAGTTGTGCAGGTGGTTCTTGGATACCAAGTCTTTTTGACTACAGTATCAAATAATTTGAATTGATTCTTATTTGTAGAAGAGTGTTTTTGACTTCTATACCTTGCAAGGTCTTGGTTTTTTTCATGTTTTTTTGTGAAGGGAGAAGGAAGGGGCTGGAAAACTTTATTTTATACCATGGTATAGGGTATGAACTTTCAATGAGTGGTCTCACACGGCATAAATATACCATTTTGAGCAGTTCTATGTTGTTTTTTCTCTAGGTGCCTGTGGGCGATCAGCCTAAGGACATTGAACTTCAAATAAGAGAGCTAATCCTTCAATTCATCAGCAACCCAAATTCAATTATTCTGGCAGTTACAGCTGCTAACACAGACATGGCCACTTCAGAAGCACTTAAAATTGCACGGGAGGTGGATCCAGATGGTAAGCAGCAAGAACAACTGGATCCTGTAATTCAACTTCTTTTTTAAAATTAAATCCTAAAATAATAATGAAGTCATTTGGGCAAAAAGCAGTAAGAGAAACAAATGTCATTGCATTTCCTAGAAAATACAATTACTATATTTACTTAAAGACTTTCTGCTGCAGTCTCTGCAACTCAGAGGATGCTGTGATGAATTAATATCTAATAGATTTCTGGCTTACGAACAGGCCAGATAACTATTTTAGTAGTCATAGGAGCCGATTCTGTTTCCAGAGCAGCGAAATAGCATTACAGAATGTTTTGTGATTTTTAGTAGTTTACAGAGCTCTGTTACGATGACTTCATGCTTTATTGTCCAATGTTGTTTCTTTTAGTAGAGAGAATACGCCATCCTGCAGCTAGTAATTGACTGTCTAGCTGTTAGTTTAGTGACTTTTAATAAGAATAAAATTAATATATGTTGTCAGTATCCATTTTGGTGCCCTGCATTTATGTGACAGAACTGACTGATTTGATTTACTCTAAAAAGAGGATTATCATTTTATATTTACTTAATGACTTTGAAACAGATCTGAAGTTACTGGGTACCTGCTTCTTGTGTGTAGAAAGTCCTCTCAGTATCATTGACTAATTAATGGCACTGTGTGATTTGAAAGGATATGGAAAAGTATACTCTAACCATAGGTATACTGAAATTAGGCTAAAATTTGGTGTTGGTATGCTTTACCCTCAATTTTTTCTTCCCATAGAGTGTAACATTTCTTGCTTGTTTTCAATTTTCCCAAGTCTGCTTTGGCCTGTCCTTAAGCCTTTATGTGTTCCACAGCCATGTAACCTTGAGGGAGAACCTCTTCTGGCAGTCTTCTCAGTCAAATTGTCCTGGTTCAAGGCAGCAGACCCTTTCCTTTTAATGTACCCTTGTAAAAATGATCAACTGTGACTTTTGGATCACTTCCCAAAATTCGAAACCTTAAAGATCTGGAGTGGCAGCTCATGTTGCAGGTTCTGTAGGAATAATGGTATGTAATGAGAACTTGAAGTACTAAAGTAGGTAGACTCTGACTTGCATTATTCTGAAAGTTTCAGGACCCAAGAATCTACTGATTTCACTGAGGTACTGGTTTATTTTTAGACTTGAGAAGTGTGTTATATTTTAAAGAAAAAGTTCTCACCGTGTTTTTTTCAGACCCAAGAGCCCAGGAAGTATTAAGGTCCCATACAAGCCCTGTACATGTTAGCCTACCTGCTTAGATGTGCCATATTTACCTATTTAATGAATTTAGGTCAGTTTTTCCTCCACAGTGTCTAATATAAAGCTTAGTTTTAATTTGGAAAACATTCAGTCGCATATTCAATAAAAATTAAATCCCCTGAAGCTTCTTCAGTGGATGGATTTCAAGCCATTCAGTCTTGGGGCTTTCAGTTATGTATTTGATGCACTATGCTGGGAAGTGGGCCTGTTGCCTCCATTAGCAGCTTGTCCAGTGGGTAGTGGTATTTCAAATATAGTTCCAAACAGATTGCCATTACATCTGATCCTACATATATGCTAGAAATATGTTCAGTCCACTCACACTTGTGAGTTCCCTGCCTTGCCTTACTTGGTCTTCTTCGCGAGTGCTTAGTAATGCCTCTAACCTCATGCAAAAACGTTTGTTGTAATCAGTCATTACTATAATTTCAAACTGTATGGTGCCTAAACCTTTTTCTTTAACCAGATCTGTGTGGGGATTAGTACCTGCCAAGTACTTTCTTATACTCCTGTTAATAAGGGGCTCCAGATTGACAAATACCACATGTTCTTGCGCTAGTCTTTGCTGGTTTGCAGTATTAAACTTTATGCAGCTGTCTGAGGAACTTTTTGAATGATGAGTTTTAGCTAGCTTGATCAAGACAAAACATCCCTGTCAGTGAGTTTTCCTTCTGGTAGGTCGAAGAACCCTTGCTGTTATCACAAAGCTGGATCTCATGGATGCTGGCACTGATGCTATGGATGTGCTCATGGGAAGAGTGATTCCAGTAAAACTTGGCATCATTGGAGTAGTAAACAGGTCTGTCTGGGCACATTGATGCTATTTTTAAAACTGTGTTAATATGAAGTAATGCTTTTGGCTTTTTTAACCATTAATATGGTTTTAAGAATAAGGTGACTTGATGCTGAAATAAACTTCTGAATAAGCAAGCGAGAAGCTTGTTACTCACTTTTCAAAAGCCTTTCTGTTCTTCTTCCACTCAACCAATTGCTAATCTAGAAAGGAGTAGGGACACTTCTAAAAGAACTTTAGTGTCACTTCTTTCCACTGTTTTCTAGCTTGAGCGATGCTGCTGGTCAGCTGTTCACATTAGCACTGATCCCATACAGATCTTGTATGTATTAGTGCTAACTGCATGTGGCTATAGTACTGTTCACTTTATTTTTTGCATTAGCTAGGTCAAATCTCATGTAGTTTTGGTAAAAGTGTTGCTTAGTCTGTGTACAGCTCCTACCCATACTGATTTGTTGACTATGCTGCATGAACAACAAATAAAAATGTTCATTGTCTAAGGAAGATGAGTTATGTGTGTAAAGCAAAAACCAGCTGTTAGATGTCCTGTCCAGAAAAGCAGAAGTGTAAACTATTTTTACTTTGCATCTGTTAACTAGTGTGTAACTCTGCCTTTTTTAACTTCAGGAGTCAGTTGGATATTAACAATAAGAAGAGTGTAGCAGATTCCATTCGTGATGAGTATGGTTTTCTTCAAAAGAAGTATCCTTCCCTAGCCAATCGAAACGGAACCAAGTATCTTGCTAGAACACTGAACAGGTATTACATATTATGTAAAATAAAATAAATGTGTGCTTTTATATTTAAGATATAAATCAGTGTGTTAGAAATATGTGTAAACATTTATTTTTACCTTTCCTTTCTCTTTTGATGCTGTACAGTGATACATTAAGGAAAACTCTGTTTGGTTCCAAATTCAGTTTCTGAATTTACTGTAATTTTCCTGAGTGTTTTCCTTTTGGTGATTGTTTTCTGTCTCTTCTCTGTTTTGATGGAGATGATAAAGCTGAAACTTTTCCTCCCTTCTAATGAGGCACTGTTTTCTATTTTTAGACTACTGATGCATCATATCAGGGATTGCTTGCCAGAACTGAAAACCAGAATCAATGTCTTAGCTGCTCAGTACCAGTCTCTGCTAAACAGCTATGGGGAACCTGTTGAGGACAAAAGTGCCACTTTATTGCAGCTTATTACCAAATTTGCCACAGAATATTGTAACACTATTGAAGGAACAGCAAAATACATAGAGACTTCGGAGCTGTAAGTAGCGAATGTTTTTTCTAGAATATTGACTGAACAGTTAGATCGAGTTGATCTTCAAGTGGCTCTTGCCAATGAAAGCCAGCAATAGTATTACACTAGAGCATAACATACTCAAAAATGTTTGAATCCAAGTAACTGTACAAAATCTTTGCAATGAGAGCTTTTTTCTTGTTTGCTGCTTCAGTTGTTATTTTATTTTCAGATGCGGTGGAGCTAGAATCTGTTACATTTTTCATGAGACCTTTGGAAGAACTTTAGAATCTGTTGACCCGCTGGGTGGCCTTAACACAATTGATATTCTGACTGCCATTAGAAATGCTACTGTGAGTGTTCTTCTGTATTTATAAGTGTTGTTGCTGTATATTGGATATGAAGATAAGGTTTCAACAAATCTGTGCTCCTTCAGTCCTGTGAATTAATGGTCTCAGCTGAATGAGTTAATAGGAAGAGGCTGGATCCTGCTTTTTGGTATTTTAATTGCAATCCAAATTTGCAGCCATTATCCTATGTGGAATGAGTTTAAGGTGAATGCTTACATCTCATTACTATTTACAGGCTGAAATAAAGCTCAAGCCCAGCTTTGGCAACCCTATGCTAAAGCTATTATGTATTACAGAAATGGTGATGGAAGACTGCCTCTGCATTTATTTTGCATTAAGCACTTCTGTTAGTTATGAAGACTCAGTCTGAGATGTATGGGCTAGAACACATTCAGATATTTTAATTCTTTATAAGGGACACAACTCTTCAATGGTTCAGTATTTACATGACAGGTTCGGTTTCTTGTGAATATGGGAACTGGTGTTACTAAGAATTAACAGAGTAAGTTTGCTTTTAAATTTTGCAGTATATAGAATGTTCACTCCTTAGAGCTTGACTTTGGATGTCAAACACCTGTCTGCTTTTGTATTTTGTTCTGTTGGGTGTGGACAGACAGTCAGGTTTCTGCGTGGTCAATAATTATTCAAACTTCTAGCACATTAGGTACTCTGCAGCAATGATCTGTGTGCATGCTCCTATCCTTCTGTAAATGTAACATGTAAAACAGCATTTAGTAACAGGAGAGATGTCTTGTTTTTATGTGACGTATCACATATTTGTGTTTCTAAAGCTCATTTAATTTTCAAAAAAAGGAAATTTCAAGTAAAAAATGTTTCCTGTGTAGCTAAGCATTTGTCTGTATAGTCATAAAGGAAATTATCCAAAACACTGTAAATCAGTGACACTGTATTATGATTATACTTAACAGAAAACCCACCTATGTTACAGTAAGAATTGTATACCCAGGACTGTCAAATAAATAATGGTAACTTTTCTCTCTGAAGTTAGGAAGAGAATGTCCTTGCCTTTTTAATAAATTTCATTTAAACTTGAATCCACAAATGTGAAAAGAATTGTTCGTAGTTGTAAGCCTACAGTGACATTAGTGGGTAGAAATCCTCAAGATTCTATAAGGATGCTGGTTAATCATTATTTACCATACTGTTTGTCTTAAAGGTAATAACTTTATATTTTATAGCTTTTATATTTAAATATTCTTGTAACATATTTTAAGACCTGTTCTGAGTGTTCTTTTGGGTGCGAGCAGTGTGACCTGATTTATTCTGGGCTTCATCAGATACTACTACTTATAAATACATATTGTTTTAATACACAATTTAGCAGCTTTTTCCCTCCTTTTGCACTAGGGACCCCGTCCTGCCTTGTTTGTTCCTGAAGTTTCATTTGAATTGCTGGTAAAAAGGCAAATCAAACGTTTAGAAGAACCTAGCTTGCGCTGTGTGGAGCTGGTTCATGAAGAAATGCAGAGGATTATCCAGCATTGTAGTAATTACAGTACACAGGTAAAAATGTATATTTTAGAATTATATTTCTAATTATTGGGCTCCCCTCCCACCCCAACTTCCCTAAAAAATTCTGGAAGTCCTATCAGTAAATTTCTGTTTTGTTTTTAGGAATTATTGAGGTTTCCTAAATTGCACGATGCCATAGTTGAAGTAGTAACCTGTCTTCTGCGTAGAAGACTTCCTGTCACAAATGAAATGGTAATTTTCCATCTACTGTAGTTTTGCTGGAAAAAGTGTGTGTTTTCTGGAGTCTTTCTTGATGGTTCTGTTTGCTCTGTAATGTCAGGAACCCAAATTATTAAAGGAATCTTAACTTATATTTGTTAAATAGCTAGGTTTTTAGTATCTACACAGTTTGAAACTTCTTCTATATTAGAAGATAGGTACATAAAAAACAACAAGATGGGGGGAACCCTCTTCAGCTTATTGTCCCCTATGTTTCAATTTCCCAGGAAGAATTTTACTAAAACTTGGACTTAACATCTCCTACTCTTTCTGATATAGGTATATTTTCCTCCCTTGTAACAGAAGCTGCGCGTTTACTGTAGATGGGATGCAATGATGAAAATTAAATTGTCCTTATTCTGTGTGTTTTGGAGATAAAATCAACACAAAATGTTGATTTTGCTTGTAATGCCCTTTGGCTAGTGAGAACTAAAAATTCAATTTCTAGCTTTGAGTAAATATGTTTTAATATAGAAGTCTGCTTTGGGCTGCTTATTGGGGAGAAAACAAGTGTTTCAGTTATTGACTCTGTGTATGTTTGATGTGAAAAGCAAAAATTGTTCTGTACGCTCGCTATCCTCTATAGTGAGCCATCTCTCTCATTGGTTCAAGTGTTGTATGTGGCTTGTGGCTGAAGGCTGACTATATAGCTCGCTTCATTACTATTTAGCGTACGCTCATTAAATTGCTGAGTTTTGTTTATTTATTGCTGGAGAGGGGTTAGCTTGATGAAGCTAACAAGTTAAACTGATGTAACATCCAAAACAGCTGAAGGTCTGAATGTATTGCAATGAACGAATGAATTCCCTTCTTGCCTTCTGGATCAGAACTTTAATGTCTTTGGGGCAGTAAGAATGGTCTTTTGCTATGGACAGTTAGACTATGCTTTCTAGCATTATAGGTCATTGCTCTTCACTAGCATTAGATTTACTTTACTCACTGAATTTTTTAACTGTGAATGACATTGCGTTGCAGGTTCATAATCTAGTGGCCATTGAGTTAGCTTATATCAATACCAAACATCCAGACTTTGCTGATGCCTGTGGTTTAATGAATAACAACTTAGAGGTAAGAAAATACAGCCTCTTAAAAGGTCTTCTGACTCCTTTAAGTGAGAGCCTAAATGATTGGTAAAAGAACAAATGCTTCAATTTCTTTCATTGAAGCACAGTTCTACATTTTGAAATATAAAAATATGATATATTACAAATATGGTGTATACTCTTTTATCTTGTGATCTGTTGATTTGTTAGATTTATATTGTATATTACGTTCAGGAACAGTGGTTGATGTTTCACTGACAACAATTCTGCCTGTATTTCTGAATAAGATGGGCACCTAATTGAGTATTGGCTATTAAATGAAATTTTTGGAAGAGAAACTTCAGATAGAAAGTTGTGAAATACTCTTGAATATTGAAGTAACTGCATTTTGTCTCTGACAGAATGTATCAATATCTATAATGTTCCTGTCATTCAGGAAAGGATAATACAAGTATTGTTTCCTGTATTTAGGTTCTAATTTCTGCTTCTTTTTGGCATTGTTCTTGAATCCCTGTGTTACCACACTTCAATCTCCCTAAGACACTTTCTCCATCAATCTCCCATAAGCCTTTTACAATTTCAGTAGTCTTTCTGTTTTTCAAGCCCAGCTTTGATTGATAATAGTTGTTGCTGTCATCATCCTATAGAAGCAGTTGTTCTGCAACCGATCTGCTCAATTCTTTCTCGCAATCTGATTTTGTTGCAGTATTTCATCCATCTGGCGAAGAGCTCACTAATATTCTTGTGTTGCCCTGCTTATCCAACACATACTTTCATAGTAGCGTTCTTTTTAAATGCTTCTGTTACAAGTTCTGCTCTGTAGTTCTAACCTTTTACCTTCTTCTATACGTAAATTTTGTATCGACTGGGTATGCAGTTGAATTTGCCTTGGTAGACTGCTCTTGAATCTAGTTCAGAAGCGATGTGTGTGCAAACTGCTGTGAGTACAAAAATTAGGACTTCGTGAAGTTGAACATATGAGTTTATTGTATTATCATGTGTTACTTAAACTAGTTCTTTCCCAACGTTTTTCTGAACAGGACATTGAAATTTTTGAAGAAACAAAGCATGTAAAACATCTTATCCTTATTCAGTGGACAATCAATTATTAATTTCAAGAAAAATCGGATCTTTGTTTGTCCTGATTGCTTCAAATTCTGTTTCACTATAAAGTGAATTCTGCCTCCTTCCTTTTGGGCTAATCATAGTTAACCCTGCTGGCCACAGAATCAAATCCTTTTAGATTACTGCGAAGATTTAAAGCTTAATGAGGCCTGTAGGGTATCTATGCTGAGCCAAACTGTGTAGCTTTGATCTTGTTTTTTTTAAAGGCTCTAGTTTTGATTATGGAGTGTGTTGCAAAAAGTTTTGCAGAAGTTTTTATACTGAGAATTTACTTTTGACCAGGTAATCGGAGTAGTTTTATCCAAATAATTGAGGTTTTCATAGGATCATATAGCATGACTACATGCCACTGGATGAGATGAAATTACTAGTGTTTGTCTCTAAAATGTAAGTCATCTGTAAAATATGAATCTTGCATATGTGTTGATACAGAGTAATACATAATTGAGGTCTTGCTGGATTGTTTTTAAAGGAACAAAGGCGTAACAGGTTAGCCCGGGAATTGCTTTCTACTGGGCCACGAGACAAGGTAAATAAATGTTGATTTTTATTTATTTATTCATTTAAAGTTGATCAATTTTAATTATTGGAAACTTTGGTGTGCTGCCCTAGTAACAGTCCTGGGAGCTTCCAGGTATTGATTTTTTTTCTTTCAATTTCATAAGATAGAAGTGGAATGTTATTTTCTTCTTCCAAAAATGCAATTTTTGGCAGGTTTTAAATCTGGGATTTCTGAAGATTTGCCTATAAATTTACATTAATATTACCCTTATTACTTGAATGTCATCTGAGGTAAGGCTTAAAATACCTGCAGATGTTAAATATGGAGTCAGAACTTTCAGCCATAAATTTAAGCATGCGATACGCTGATTTCAAAAGATACACAAGTGATTTAAAATATTCAGTGTGCCAACATAGTGACTTGGTGGTGAGTTTTTGGTGGTTTTTGGTTTTTGTGGTTTTTCTTGGTTTTTTTTTTTTTTTTTTTTTTTTGCAAATGGCTTTTAAAACTGCAATTTATTGCAGTCTTGCTTTCTTTGGGAGAAGATGGTAGAGGTGATGTTTTCAGTTGATCATCATAATCCAGTCATGTATTTTGTCTCTGGAGCTTGCTTAGTTTTACCAGGTTTTGGGGATTAGTTCAATGACAAGTAAGTACATGGGTGGAAGAACCAAGTGTCATGGAAAACATTGCCTGGCTGTAGAAATGAATGGTCTGACAATCAGCTGGAATTTTAGACAGTTAGGTATTTAATACTGTGTGACATATTTGGAATCCAAATATACAGAATACAGTTTAAGCTCCTCACAGGTTGTAACAGGAGTTACTACAGCTGATAGAAATTGGTTCATTAAGTTTGTTAGCTTAAAAAGTGAGACAAAGTCCCAGAATGGATCTAGTATTACTGCCTTTAATCAGCAGAAGCCAGCTGATGGATGAACTGGGAATTTAAGATAGCTATCTAGAGATTGCTTTCAGTGCTCTTTGATCCTTCTTTTTATTGACTTCGTATTTATATCATCAGTGTAGGAGCTGAAATGAAATTGAAGGCCAGATAAGCCAAAAGTCTCTTAACTGTCTTGGAGATATTTTTTTTTTTTTTTTAAATTTCTTTCTGCTTATATTACTGTTCTGCTTGCGAATTCAAAATATTTTCATCTCTGGTTTTTTAAAGATACTAGTAGGTAAAAGTGTATGAAATTTGCTAGGTAGATTTGGTGGTCTTCAGTTGAATTTTATTTTATATTTTTTTTTTTTCCCCTCCCTGCATTTTTTACCTTCCTTAGTCTACTAAAGCTCCAGGTGCATTGACACCTGCCTCCCAGGAGACTGTTACTGCTGCTTCTGCTGAGGCTGATGGCAAGGTCTGTCTTGATTTTTCCTATAAGCACTGCATGCACATTTCTGTTGTGGTGCACCGCAGATAGTACGGAAAGCAGTTTGTATTTAGTGTTCTGTCACTGACACAGTATGCCCTGCAGAGTATAGTCTACTTGGCATTACTGATATTAGTATGTGCAGTGGCAGGTAAAGATGTGCCATTAGGTGGCAAAGTCACTGCTTTCTGTTTGAACTCTTGGTTGCAATATATTGTGGTGCAAGTATGCAGCATAATTTGCCTCAAACTGTAGTCAGTAGATTGTTTGGTGCAACAGTATTGTAATCAAAAGTGTTCAGCATGGTTGTTAAACTGCATGTTTTTAATGTGTTGACAGTTAAAGAAGGAGGACAGAAGATAAGCTAAAAATGTGAGTTTCCTGCTTCCTGCAGGGAATCCTTTTAGGCTTTGTTCAAACTGAACCTCCTTTTTGTTGTTTCACGTAATTGTTCAGTCCTTGGTTTACTTATATTTGTGAAATGTGTTCTGCAGTGGTTTTTTACACTTTAGGTGTGCTGTCTCTTGTGTTAAAATAACAGCTCATTATTGTAAAGACTTTTTTGTTAATTGCCTTCACTTGGAGTCAGAAAAGATGGGTAGTCACAAGTTTGTGTATTAGTAGTACCAAGAGGAGTTAGGCTTTCAGCTTTTTGCATATGCACATTCAGCTTCTAGTGCAAAGCTGTCAGTCTGTCCTGAACAAAGTCAAAATCGAGTCAGGGGTAGAATTTTAACAATTATTTTCGTCAGAGTATTAGAGGTTCTGATATGCTGCAAACGTTAAAAAGAAGTCAAGAGCTACTGTGAGGATACTGTTGTGACTTAAGAAATTGCAGGAAGCTGCCAAATTTGGTTTAATTTGTGTTTCCCACAAAACCTGTCCTTTATTAGGTGGTACATACCCAACACTTTTTCTTGTGAAAGAATGTAGCTCTGTTTCTGAAACTACTTTGGAGATAGAGCAGGTTCCGTAGTAGAACTGAATGAGAATGGCACAGGGTTTTTTGCATGTTGAATAGCTGACTTGCAATCAGAAATAACATAGTGGAGCTTTCCTCATCAATGGTTCTTTCTTATTAGCAGGGGTTGATTTGAATTCTTACAGTGTATTTTTTACAGCACCTCTGAACAGTTGTGCAATTTTAATAAAATTTCTGATGTGCACAGTTTAGCTGGGTTTCCTCCTAGTATGCAACTGTTAGTATTCTATTTGCTGTGCTTTGTTTCTCACTTTTTTTAGACTCAAGATCAGCCTGTGGTGTTTTAACTGTAAACACAAAAAATAAATTTAGCTTATTTCCTCCTATATCTGAAACAAGACATAAGTAGTAGTAGTTCAGAGCCTTGAATGTTTTTTTCATGCAAAGGTACAAAATAAAAATTACCACTGTTCCACATCAAAATAAACTGTTTGTGTTTGGTTTTCAATATGAATTTAACATGTGGTGGATACCATCTACTAATATTTCTTTTGTCCAGTGATTCCTAATGTTTAAGAGTTGGGTGTTACGTCCTTTTCTCAGGAGATCAGTGAGTCATTCTTTGTCTGGAACTTCCCAGAAACTCTGATCTTGACTTCCAGAGGATGGAGATTTTTAATTTCTTTTAATTTGGTACAAAGAAAGCCTTCTGTAAATTGAGGTCTGGCAGCACAAATATGTTCATATCTGTGATACCTGGAAACATAAATGTGCATATTTTTTTAGCTGTTATTGTAAGACACTTCAGTTTATATTTAAATAAATACCAAAGAATTTAAATTCAAGCCTTCCAAGAGCTGTGGTAATCTTCACACTTTCAGAATGGTCCTGATATTATAGGTTGTATTGCTCCAAGGATGTATGGTAAAAGTGGTAAAAGCGAAATGATTTAGGAAGACCATTCCATATTTCAGAAGTGATTTGTAGACCCTTAAAATGCTGGGGAGCTTCTCTATGTGAGGCATCTTCATACCATCATTAGGAAGAATATGAGTTTTAAAAGCTTTCATTTTACTGGTACTTTGTGTCAGCTGTAAGCAGCAAAGGGAGAACAAAGGTGGGGAATGTGAAGAATAGAATGAAGGGAATATACATATGAAAATCTAATTTTTAGTGAGCCTTACTTATAGCTCAGTAATAGTAGATTTGATCAGTCACTACTTTGCAATGCCTAAGTTCTAACTCTCCAACGTTTCTTCATTGTGCTGTTTGTGCAGGCTGCTCCTGGAGCAGGAGATACGTCTCAGGAGCCTGGAACAGGCGTCTGGAGAGGAATGCTGAAACCTTCAAAAGTGGAAGAGGTATCAGCAGAGGAAAAATCCAAGCCACCTGCAGCTCTACCTGCTAGTCCTCAAAAAGGACATGCTGTAAACCTATTAGATGTGGTGAGTCATGAAAGACAAATACCTCCTCTTTGTAGTTCAAGCTCAGGAAAAACATCTGAATGTTGTAATTTTGATTACATCCAGATCTTGTAATTTTGCGACTAATGTATGATATCTTTGTAAATAGATACCACTATAGGGACAGGGAGCTCTAGCCAGTCTCTTCTGCTTTCCTGCTTGCCCAATCTTTCATTGTTCCCCCCGCTCCAGTTTCAGCCTATGATTTGGGCTAACTGGCTTCCTTTCACAAATTCCTGTGCAAGTGCACTCCTTGTCTAGATAGCTCTTTGTAGAGAAACAATCTCAGCTCATGTCTCAACTCAAATTCCTGCTCTTTTTTGCTGAAGTTGGTATTTTTATATTAGAGGAAAAGAATCATTAACAAACACTTAAGTTAAAAATAGATTGGAGATCCTTTAAGTGTTTGGAGAGCTTAGTTCTTTTAGTGAGCTTTTAAAAAAAATTTAGTAGTGGTGCCCTCTGACCTTTGTTTCACAGATCTGGATTTTGACATGTCTCTAAGTCTGAAGACTTAAGAGGTTTGTTGCACGACTGGTTACATCTATCAAACTATCAGACTAAAAGAGCGATAGTTTATTTTAGACTCCACAGTTTGAGTTTTATTTACTTATGCAAATGAGCAGAGTTAGTAAACTGTGGTTTTTATTTTTTTAACATAGCCTGTACCTGTTGCACGCAAACTTTCTGCCCGTGAGCAACGAGATTGTGAAGTGATTGAACGACTTATTAAATCTTACTTCCTTATTGTCAGGAAGAACATTCAGGACAGGTAAAACAAAACTTCCTAGAAATACTTAAGGCATACAAATGTTGTGGTATCTCAAGAGTCATGTATATAATCTTGTTATTTTATCATGTTCTTATGTTTGTAAGCAGAGAGAAAAAAATTTTTTTTTTTCTTTTTAGAAGGGGCAGCAACAGTAAAACTTGACCCTTCACAGAATTAAGAATCCTGAAGAAGCACTTGTTTTCTTTAATGGACTATTTCTTCCTATTTCAAACAGGAAGGTGGAATAGGAACTACTGCAGCTAAGTTTTCTAGTACTTAGCTATAAGGATGGAAATAGCATAAAAGTAATGTTTCAGCTGTGTGCCACTATGGAAAATGCCTTTAAAGTTTTGCTTAAAAATTGTTGTACTTTTTTTTTTTTTTTTAATGAAGAATGATGTAAAACTTAGCTTTGCTTAAGTCTTTGAGGAAAGACCTAACATATATATAAAATATGGGAAATTTGGGGGGAAATACAGGAGTCTGGAAACCAGAGTTTAGAGCAGATTAGTGAGGTCATAGAAGTTTTATTCTATCCAGTAAACTAATATTCTCCTCAATATAATTTTTAGTATTTCATGGCAAGGAATTGTTTTGTTTACCTTAATTTTACTGCAGTGTTAGTACTAGTAGTGTTACCTCCTTGTGTATTCTAAACAATCCCTTCACATTCTTTGCAGTAAATATGCATACATAAGGAAAAAAATAAAATGCTATCTCAAGTATTATGAATTTGATGTATTAGGACATCCTCACCTAATTCAGAAATATTTTTAGGAAATACCTTTTGAAGATGGTACTCATGTCCGTCCCATATCATACTTGCAGAACTAATTCAGGCTCTTACTTGGATGGTTTGGATGGTATCTGTACCCACACAGCTTTGAACCTGAGTTTTGGGTTGCTTTCACTCTTAGCCAGGTGACTTCCAAAATATTCTAGGCTTCTTTCTTAACCTCTTCTTTGGTAGACCTTGCAATGTATTGGTTTGAAAGGAGGATGTAAATTGAATTACTTGAGTACTAATAGATCTATATGGTCTCATCATGATTTCCCAGAAGTCTTTCCACAACTGGCTAGTAAAGAATCATAACGCAGCAGAATGCAGTGGCAAAATTCCCAGCCAAACTTGGCAGTATGATTCCAGAAGTTCAGATGTGTTGATCTTGGGTCTGGCTGTTTAGACTTGCATGGTCCTTGTCAAGTTAATTCTGCAGTGACAATTGCAGCACTCTAAGAATGAGCAAAAACTCTTGATCACCCACGAAAATTATTTTGATTTAGGTGTAGGGCTATGGGTGTGTTAGAAGAGCGATGTGGTTGCTACTTAATGAGTCAGTACTGATGATATGTCAACTCCTAGTCCACTCTAGTTGCAAAATACTGCTGCTAAGAATTACACCAACAAGGTTGCCTAAACTAATATGTTTTATTTCTCAGCTGGGAACAACCATCAGTATTTTTATTGTCAGTTACTGTTACTCTGAAATAACCTGACGTGCACTAATTCAATTTTTGATGCTGTGTTTATATCCCCAGATTTTAGTATGCATTAGTATGATGATTTGATTTTGTCAATACTCGCGCAAATATTTTCCCTCCTTTTTCAGAAGAGTACTGCTACACGTATCCTAAGTCCCAAAGACAATCAGGTTCAGCTAGATTCAATACTTGGAATTTTTTTCAGGAAGCTTAGTGGCATGGAAATCAGAGCTAAGGCAGTGGTTTCTTTCAGGTGTTTTTAGCCTGGCAACAGAGCTGAAAAATGTCACTCTACAGATTCTGTAATGTCTTTCTGATGGATTATTCTTGATTCTCATTGGTTGCCGCCTGTCCCCATTCCAGACACATATATTTCACACTTAAACTCCATTTGCATTTTTAATTTGCTCTCACATTATGCTCTTTGATATCAGAGATAATGTGGTCCAGTGTTTGAACAGTGATGCTGTTTTCAGTTCATCTGCTAAGTAAGATCAGATATATGCATTCTTTCTTTGCCTCCTTCCTTTCTCATTCTCACATTAAGATTGATTTTAGGGTTGAAATGCTTAGCTTTTTGTCAAGCCTAGCACAGTGGAGACTTGGGTTGGTCTCTAGTGAGCAATGTAATTTATTCTTATTTTTTACACTATATATATATTCATGTATATCATATATTCATATATATCATGCAGCTATCCTATTTGGAAGAAATTCAACAGCTCTTAAATTGCACAAGATACTGCATTTATTTGAGAGAGAGTTTTTATTTACAGTAGTGGTATATTCCTGGTAGTTTGAGCCAAGGCTGTGTGTATCTGCTTACTTATTACATTGTGCATTCTTCAATCTAGAGCAGAACGCGTTTTGAATAATTCTGAAGAAACAATCTTTATATGCTTGCAGTGTGCCAAAGGCAGTGATGCATTTTCTGGTGAACCATGTGAAAGACACTCTTCAGAGTGAGCTGGTAGGCCAGCTGTATAAATCCTTGTTGTTGGATGACCTTCTGACAGAATCTGAGGACATGGCACAGCGCAGAAAAGAGGCAGCTGACATGCTAAAGGTATTAAAAAGATCAGGAGCTCATGGGAGTAGTTAATTAAATTGAAACCATATAAATGTGAGATTTTTTTGAAGACTTGCCTTCCTTTTTAATTTGCTGCTTTTTAAGAGTATGCCAGTGTATTACTCTCTCTGCTAGAGGAATTAAAGCAATATGTGACCAGAAAGTATTATGTAGATTGAGTACTTGGGAAGAAGTGACTTAAACTATATTTTGGGCATAAAGCAGAAGCTCTAATCTGGTGTTATTTTCAGTTATACATTTGCTTTTAATAATTTGCTTTTATTTAACTATTTTATAGTGTTCAGCAGTTCTCTTTTGGGGGATTAAGCTTACAGTGTTTTAAGTGCTGTATGCTTCACACAGAGCCTGCTGGCCAATGGCTGGTGCATCTAGACAGTAACCCATAATACGAACAGTGGGACTGTTGGGATTCACTTCTGATGACCCCTGTGTACATCTGTATGACAGGGCATTTGTGACATGTCCATGTTACACAACTCTTTGTTTTTTTTCATTGTTATGTGGTGTATCAGCGTCTGCACCAGCTGCATCAGAAATAACGCTGCTTTGGGTTAAACTGCATAGAAAGAGTCCCTTTGCCAGTTCAGCTCACGGAAGAAGTAGCAAGAGGTGCTTCTCCTTCACATGCAGTGTGGTCAGACAGCAGGTGTTTGAGAGATTGGATACTCTGAGATACTGCTTGTCCAAGACCACCTGCAGCAAGTTTAAGCTTTGCTATTATATGATCAACATTTGAGTGAGGGGAACTGTCTGTTAATCTGAACTGTAAACTTTACAGGGCCAAACTCATAGCTCAGATTTCCCCAAATTGGGGTAATCCTTTAAATAATGTTAGTATTAGTTGGTATTCTGAGCTTTTAAACTTGCAAAGTTTAGCAGGCTAGACTGTAATGAATGCACCAGAATGCTAAAAGCGATATAAAATAGGTACAGTTTCCCTTTTTATTTTGAGGAAGGTTAAAAGCATTAAAACTGTGTGTGGTGAGTCAGCCCTTTTTTATAAATACCAAATGTTAAGAGGCGTTATTTGGAACACTGAGTACGTAAAAGTTGTTCAAAACAATGACAATGAGCTCTTTTTGCTTCTAACTGAAAGTTCAGTTTTCAATTTTTAATTCTTACCTCTCTAGAGAAATGATTTAATGACACCTATGCTATGTTTTACCATTACCTTTTGCTTGGTAGTATTTTCCACTTGCCTCATCTTTTGCAGATGGAAGGCTTCAGAGTTGTTAAGCAATGTTGTTGCAGGTAGTTACCACTTATTTCATAATGAAAATCATTAGCTTTAATTTGATTAACATGACGCTTCCTAGACTGCTGCTGTTCTCTTTGAGAAATCTCTTCAGAAAAACTAAGTAACTTTGGCTTTTCTGTCTTTCTGTGTGCAGGCCCTGCAGCGAGCCAGTCAGATCATTGCAGAGATTCGTGAGACACATCTTTGGTGAAGACTGTACCAGCCACACTATTTATAGGCATTGGAGGTTATATTGACTTGAAAATTGCTAGGCATGGTATATGGAGTAGAATTTTTATTTATGAACTCTTATCTGTGTACTGCAACTGTGTAAATCTGCTCATGTAAAGACAGTTGGTTTGATTTGCAAACAGAAAAATATGCTGTATTTTGCAAAATAAGTCGTATTTAATCCACATAATAAATGGCTCTAAATGTTTCCTTACCAGCTTTCTGGTGCAAATTAAAGCAGACCAAGTCTACTGTCTCAGTGACAGTCTCATTTGAACTTGGGGAAAAAACATTAAAGTTCCAGTGCCTGACTTGCTAAACAGGTTGCCTGTGGTTAAGATGGACGGTGTAGTCTTGTGGCATAGTTTTAAGCTGCTTTTACAACAGAAGTTTAAATACTGTGAAGAGAAGAGAGCACCGAGTATTTTCTTTCATGAATATATTGCATGCACTATGACAGATGGAGGTATCAATTTTATAGCACAGTAGAGGTGTCTACCGTATTACTATGTATGTGTGTCCCCATTTTTTTTCCCCAAACATTAAAACTGCGGACAAAACTCTGAACTTCATTTAATGGAGTATCATGTAGGAAGAATTAGCCTGGAGCTTGCAAACAATAACAGCCTACTAAAATGTGGGTGCAAAGTTATTCATGTGCACTGGAGCTTGTGTATAAATGTTGGGGTTTATAATCAGGTACAAGAACACCTTCCCCTTCCTCCCCCCTGGGACCAAGCCCCTGGACCACCCGACAGTAGATTTGTCCTGGCAGACCTGAAAAATAAAAACGGATTTCAAAACTGTAACGGGATAATAAGTGTTTCTTTTAAAAACAGATTAAGTTGGCCAGGGAGAAGGGGATCCCCACAACTTCTTCCAAATTTTGCAATGTATGTCAGTATGAAAGAAAGTCTGTGGGATTGGAATATTTATACCAGAGATTACAGTTACTTTTGAGGAAATTTTACTGTGCTGTAAGTAGCTTTTTTCTTCTTTCTTTCCTTTTTTTTTTTTTTTTTTTTGAGGACAATCCTAAAATTAGGGAATTTTAGGTTGGAAATTAAGTTGATGACTTATTTTCTTCTGTTTATAATTCATACAGATAAATATTGATCACACTAGCCTTTAAAAAGTAAAGATTTTAATTTTTATGGATAAAAATTTATTTAAACTCCAGCCAGCACACTTGCATGTACTTTTCAAGCAGATTCACTTTTTTGTATAAAGTAAAAATGTTTACTATGGTGTTGCTGATATTTTATCACAACTTGCATGAAAAACAGGACACTGCTGTTAACATCCATGGCTTGCTTTTATGATATTGGGCTAATATAGTGAGGTTTTTATTACCACATTCAGTTCCTTCCCCATTTCATCAGTTAACAGAAATGTAATTCCTTTTGTAAGCTGCTACAGATTGAAAATTTAAAAACTGTTAAGACCTTAGTTTACAAGAAGGTCTGTTTAAAAATGTGTTTTTTCTCACGGTAATCTTCAGTTTGGCACCAGTATAAGTACAAGGAATTAAGTCTGACAGATGCGGGTACTTTATGCATGATCTGAAATAACTTGTGCAGAACACACAAATATATTCTGTATCTTTAAACAGCCTAAAAGATCATGATGTATGCTCCATGTGTAATGAAAACAAAGGAAGTAATTTTAACTTCTTGCATTGTATCCGGGGATGGTAGTTCTCAGATTTAAGAAATGTGACTGTAGTGAAGCGCAAGCCACTTTTCAAATCAATTTTGGTGAACAGCGAAAGCTTCTACTAGTTTTGTCGAAAGCATTACATTTCTGTTTGGAATTCACCTGACGCCTCTTTCCCTTTTACTTTCAGCCTCTAAAAAGTATGCTTTCAACAAGGTAGAGCCGTCCATAAGTGAACTGCTACCTAAGCTTTAACTCTGAAAGTTCAGTCAACAGTCTCTTGTGAAGAAATATTCTGACTTGTAAAGTTTTCAAATGTTGCATAAAGCAAATTAATTCCATTTATTTAAGAAATTCCTGCAAGTGTTAACTGGCTCTGTAATATCACGTGAAATTTCCACAGTGTTAATTTGTTTTTTTGAAATGTTATGATTTTTTTAAGTTTCACAAAAATTTTCAATTTGGTAATGTTTGAGTGCCAAGAAATGAACTTGATTTGTAATCCTTAATGCAAGTCTTTAAAAATCCATGCTGTAACAATTCTGTTAATAAATAAACAGATAATATACAAAGTTAATTATCCCAGAAATAAAGTTTTGAACTGACTTGTAGTTCAGGTGGCAGGACTTACATGCTCTTACAAGTTAATAGTACAACTACCTGTATTTGTACAGACAGACTTAGGTATGTTTGCACTTGCCCTCATGCAATTCTACATTGTTAGTTGCATAAGTAATAGCATAGACAGGCTGCTAGTGGCTATTAATGGTTTTTAAACAATCTGTTGTCTGGAATTGAACTAAAATACTTAAAATGCTACTGTTACTGCAACCATTAAAATAAATTACAGGAAAACTATGGAAAAAAAGCCTAATGAAGGCTTTCAGCAACTGAAAAATTCCCAGATTAGACAAGACAGGTTTACAAATGTTTTCTAGTCAATCTTATTTAATTTAAACTTGAAATACTTTTGTCATCAATGCACAAATTTCAGCTAACTTAACTTGTGTTCCAGTGAAACACACAATCATGGGGGAGAAAAACCACTGTAGCTAAGTTTAGATTACTAAATGTTTGACATTAATATCTGACCTATGTGTGGTATTACTGTAAATAAAACATAGTATCCCTATGTGAACAGTTTGTCAATAAATTACTTGGGTTTTTTAGTAGTTGGTTTCAAATTTCACTTAGTGGAATAGATGGTTAAGGGGGATGTCTGTGTGCTTCAAACTGTATTCTGAAGTAAACATAACAAAACTTACATAAAACTTGCTTTTACTCTATGCTTTATGGAGGATTGACTTTGAAAGATGCCAGATTGGATATTGCAAACTCAGGTCCCTGCTTTATGGAATACAGCAGGGGAAACAACATGCCAATCTGTTGTGCCCCTGTTGGTGACTTGAATTATCTTGAGTGTTTTGGGTTTTTTTTTCCACAGTTGAAATCGTTCAGCTATGAGAGCGAGTGCGAGCTGGTATTTTCTGTAGATATGGAAGATCTCAAATGCATCTGCTTTTTAACTTGTTGCCAGTAAAACTCTTGTGCTGAGGTAAGAGCTAGATGATTAATACTTCAAAGTTTAAGAGAAAAGCAGAGTAGACCACCTGAATATGGTTTTATGCCCAGTGACACTGTTTGAACTAGCAAAGGTGCTTTCATGCTCTTGAGAGCTCCCTTTTAGATTACTTGCTGCATGCCCTTTCAGCCTTTACCTCTTCATTGCTAACTGCCAGAATAATGTTAAATTCAAGCCCTCCAGATTTTGCTGTCCCTAGATACTGTCCAAATGTTTTTTTGGTTTTGGGTTTTTTTTTAATGTCTGGCCCAAATAATTACTTTTCTTCTTGCACTTCTCCAAATCATACATTTGTAGACATGTTAAATACTTTAATATTAGTTACTACTTGTTTACATTTGAACAAGCTATGTCTCCAATTACCTGAACATACCTGTTTTGGGATACATGAGAAATGAGACCAGGCTAAGAAAGAACACTTGATTTTTTTTTTTTTTTGTCATCCTTGATTCTTGGCCTAAGTGTTCAAATGTTCAGTTGTGATATCCTGTATGGTTATGAAAAGTAGTGGTTTCCAAAGTGTTTCTTTGGAAAGAGTCAGGGAAGGGTGTGGATTGCTAGGAGTTGGTCAAAAAAGAAGCATGGACTAAATTTCTTGGAGTTTATGATCTTATTAAAAACCTTGTATGCAAAGAATTTAATTTCCTTTTTATTTTGTATTTGTAAAAATAAATAAAATCCTTTTAATACTTGATCCAAGTGGGTAGTAATGGTTTTAAAAAAAAATATTTGAAATTTGTGGATATATGTGTATCTGTACCATTTGGAGTTGAAGGAAAAAAGGCAGGAGAGAGATCAGACATGAAACATGACTTAGTCTACTCCTAGGAGTTTTATTTTCTGCAACCAGAAAGTAACTGTCAAATCTGATCTGTTACATTTCTCTGGAGGCTAACATGGGTGTGTACTGCTACATTTTTGTTCCTGGGTGCATGTTTCTGTATTGTTATAATGGTTCTGCTATTTAAGAAATGAGACAGCTCTACTATTAAGTGGATGAACGCAACATTCCCTTCCCTTCTTCTATCCTTTTCATGTCAAAAATTGTGATTTTTTTTTTTTCCTCCATATGCTTTCTCTAGGATAGTGCTGATCATTACTGCAGCTTAACGCAAAGTAACAAGCAACAAATTGGTTCTGAGAGCTAACAGGGTAGGTAGAGCTTTTTTTTAAGGTAGGAATGACTCAACTACTTTATATAGCAGAGATTAGGATAGAGAGATCTCATTATCAGGCAGATAAGTGGGATCTAGAAACTGAAATTAATATTAAGAACTCCATGTGGTGAGGTACTGAAAGTGCTACCATATTAGAGTTTAATAATCTGAAGAAACTGTGATGTATATGCAGCAAGACACTGTAATTTATCACTATTGAAATCTTGATTGACAGTGCAAATAAAGCCAACATCAAGTTCATCACATCAATTTGATCAACATCAAGTAAAAAAAAAAAACAAACAAAGACAACCCACCTAAAAAAAACCAACAGAAACTCCACACCCAACTATAGAATATCTGGATTCCTGAGATTGACTTCATATAACTTCCCTATTCTTCTCATAGGCTGGGTGGTTTTAAACCAGCTGAAATGCCATGACTTAATCTAACAACATCAGAGATGGTGATGAGGTAGCCAAGATTAAAGCTGCTCCCCTTGTGGCTGCAAAACTGTATTGTAGCAGTTTCATGGACTAGGAGATGATTCTCTTTGGCCTAAGTAAGTGTGAGGGTTACCCTAAACCTCAAGAACAACAGTACAGCCAAGGCCCAAAGCAATCAATCACCTCATAAATCAGAATGAGGGCTTCATCTGTGTTTGCACTGGGGCAGGGAGGGTCCTGTAAGAAAAAAGTTCTGAGCCTGCCAGCTACATTACTGTGTTCTAAGAAGTTAACCAGTTCTAAGTAACTAAAATACAGGCTTGTATGACAAATAATCTTGGTAACCACATGTGGGTTGTGGTGGTGTTGCTATTCTACCAACTCTCAAAGTATATTCTTTCTTTCATGCTGTCTTTACAAGAAAATGAGGACGCTGTGATCCCAAGTGTTGGCTATGCCATAAGCAGTAGGATCACTTTCTGCTCTTTTATGAAGTACAGCTTTTGCACGTTGCCCTATCTGAAGGGTCAGAATTTTAAATTGCAAAAGCCTATAGCTTCCCTCACATGTTTCCTGGTCCAGATACCCTTGTGGTGCTGTTCACCCACAACCCTTAGGCATCTAAAATTAAAAAAGCTTTCATGTACATGCTTCAATTCTTCTGATACGCAACTGACAGTAGACAGTACAGCAACTGACTGTGTAGAGCCAACAGAACTAGTGCCAGGATATACCTTCAGCAAAGATTCTAGATAGTACAGATGCATCCATGTAATTCACAAGACTAAGTGGAATGGGTGTCACCCACATTGTAAGTCACACTAAGTACATAGAAGGCATAAAAGGGATTTATCAATCATGAGGCTGATTTAACCTTTGAAAGGCTCTATACTCTTACATTTCAAAAAGTGAATTTGCTATTTATTACCACATTAAGGCTGGAAAGCATTTTTGCAGTGTGCCCCCATACATAACCAATAAGAAGCTTATATATTACAGCTTGATCATTGTACTCATTTATTGTGAATCTTCTACAGCTTCCTTCAAAGCAAACCTGTTCAGAAAAAAAAAAAAGGTTGATCGTAGGTTGGTTGTCCTTACCCACTTATGCAGGTTTTACAGTTAGAATGAAGTCAAACTGACAGTAGCACACATTCTCTGTACGAAGTACTGGTTTCAGGTATGCTTTTGCTCATCTTGCTGTGGATTATGCTGTAGAGTACCTGGCCACTGTTCTCCTCCTACAATACAGAAGGTTGTTAAAGGAAGGGAAAAGCATCTCCATCTTTGGACTCTGAAATCACTCTTTTCATCTTCTTGTGCACATCCTCTTATGGTGCTTTGAATAAGGCAGAGTATCTAAAAATCTCTGCAGTGGTATAACTTAGCTGCCTTTATTTGAACTCTGTTGGTGTATTTTGAGAACGAACTATGGTAGTAGTGGGCAGTCTGTGAGCTGTGTAGTAACACACAGTATAGAAACATCTTCAAGTACATCTTCGAGCAACAGAGTCAAAATGATACATCATTTCAGGGAGAAGTTCTGTTGTCACAACTGCAGCCATTTTATAATGTAGTAATTTTTCTTTCCAATCCTAAGCAATGATACTCCATTCTTGAGAATGTGCTGTCCGAGAACAAGAACAGTCTCAGGATTAGTTACTCGAATCCCATTTACTGAAACTCCACCATCTGCAATTTTCTGGTACCTTAAAAAAACAAAACAAAACAACAATTGGTAATTGCAAGAAGCAGCTATTTATTGCTGTTAAGTATTTAAAGTTCAGTGAGGGTTTTTTTTGGTTGGATCCATAATTGAATAAATTTTAATTCTCTTGCACTTTACTTTCAGTCCAGGTCAAGAGTGACTGAAATTAACCTTAGCTCTACCACTCCAATTCTTTCTGAGAGGTATGAGGAAACTTAGGCTGTTGCCTTCAACTGTCCCTTCATCAGGTGTAGATTTTACAGCTAAGGTACGCAAGACTGCATTACCCTACACTTTCACTTCAAAATGGAATGAGGATGCCTGCTCCCCTCTTCCTTAATGCTGGTATGTAGAATGCTAGCCTGTTTCCACTTGATTTTGCTGTCCTAATCGTTTAACTTCTGAAAGCATACCACTACAACCTATTTACATTGAGGTATTACCAAAGAGCACAGGTGATAACATACCCACTAGGTCCATCTGGAATGGCATTTGCTTTGCGACACAAGTCAAGAATGTTCATTCCAGGTTCAAGCATCAATTCAGCTGAAGGAGCTTGCCTAAAAAGTTCCTGTAACTCTTGGTCAGACATAGCTTCCAGTGCCTCCGTGCTGCTGTGATAAAGGGCCTTAGTACACCTGTGAGAACGAAGATCATTGAAAATACAGCGCTAGTCTCATCTTCACACAAAGTGCTACTCTAACTAATCAGACCCCCCCCCCAAACTTCTTCTGAGGGTCCACACAGTAAGAGAAGTACTTAAAGTACACCCCAATTTTCTTTTTATCATAACCCACAGCATTTTTTTTATATACTGTTAATGTATTTTTAAGTCTACAGAATTACTACAGTCTTCTCTTTTAACAGCTGAGCAACAACTAACTACATGAAAATAGTCCCTGAAAATCTATGGATAATTACCATTGAATAAATCTGAAAGAAAACTGCTCAACAAATCAAACTTCACCTTTTAGCAGATTCTAGCCCCTCTCTACCATGAACAAGCTTGGTTACTTCTGCAGCAAGTCGTTTCTGAGGGCCCCATTTTTCAGGTTCTTTAGCATGCATTTCCATGATGTGGTCAATCTCCTCAAGAGGAAGGAAGGTGAAGAGTTTCAGGTATCTACCAGCAAAGAAAAAATGATTTTGTCTATATAGTCATCATTACAGACTTCCTGCCTTTGTCATTCAAACTTCATTAACTACACTAAAATGATTCTTAATCGATTTAAGAAATCCGTATTACAGATATTCTGTCCTTTCAAACAACAATTTGGTTTTGCCCACATGCTTCAGCTTACCAGGATAACTCACGTTTTATTTAATATTCCACTTAGGGTAATGTCTTCAGACATAAGATAGTGTCAAATGCTCTTTTAAAGCTTGCATTGCAATCAACAACTTGGTTTTCTCTTGAAACATTTACTTTACAGGATTTATTGCAATTGTGTATCAACTAACAATGTTTTTTATTACATTCTTCGTAGTTGCACAATATGCTAATGCAAAATATCACTGCCATTCTGTGGTGATCATGAGACAGAAGTATGCTATGTACTGATGAGTACCTCAACAGGAAGATTATTTAGGCTAATCAAGAATTTAAAGGTGTGTATCTAAGCATAGTCCCATTTTAATAGGCTTGCAGTAGTATGAAATGCAGTGCATTAAAAAAGGTACTTTTACTGTTACCAAGTCTGAAGACATGAAACATTTTAATGCTAAGTACCCACATGCCCTTCTTATCAGTCTGAAAAGTCTGGATGCAGAACCTGAATTTGAAATATCAGGGCATAAACCTTTGAGAGAGTTAACTGAGTTATGAGACAGGTTACAATACAAAAGGGAAATACCTGTCTGAGATTTATCAAGACTCATATTTGACAGCGATACTGGAGCTTAAAGAAAAGCAGATTTAGAAGAGAACATATAGCAACTTACTAAAATTAACATAATGCCCTGAATAAAGCTATCATCGGCTATTTGTTTTCAGCCATGTAACTGGCACACCAGCATGGAGGCTAGCCGTCAATGAAGGCAACCTGTCAAATGGTATTTCTCATATTTTTGCTACCCTTTCATGTTCTTAAATATTTTTACACTTGTAAGAATATGAATTATGTCTGATTGACACGGATTCAGAGAGAGCACAATGAATCCAAGACCACGTTTTGCTCATTGCAATTGCTCTACCCTAAGTAATGATTACTCAGAATTGTGTCTTTGTACGTGCTACAGCTTTAAGTAGTAGTTGGGTAGCGTTACCTGTCTCCTAGGCATGTTTTTATCTAGACCAGTGGTCTCCAGAGTGGGGTGCCAGCACCCCAGGAGGTACGCAAGATGATCCACTGGGGTGCCGGAAGAAAATTTTAGAACTTCAGTAGTACATTTATATAATCTATAAATAAATATAAAAGTATTGGGAGTGCATGCTCAAAATTTTTTTTTACTGGTAGGGACACATGATCAAAAAAATTTGAAGACCGCTAATCTAGACAGTTAATACAATCATAAATAGGAACTTCCTGGCTTTTTCCTAACAGGGCACTATTTCAATTTGCTTAGGGATATGCAGTTTTTAATGTGATGCAGTTCTAGAAGCTGAACTTTATGTGTTTGTTTATAACCAGTTAAGTAGCTTCTTGCAATTAGAATGTGGTGCTTCTGGATACCTCGTACTAGGTAAAAACTTGTAGTAATTGGTATCTATTAAACTGCAGTTGCTTATTACATTTTATTCAATACTGTGATGTTACAGTACTGAAACTAACATAGCTCGTAAGATAAAGTCACCCCACTGGTAGAACAATGCGTTGCGCTTTACTTGTTTGTTCATCCACACTCTAATTTTATGATGCGTATGCCAGCATATGGAGACAGGTTCCACTATCCTGTATACTTATGAACCAGTCATGCCTGTTTCTTTAATGACCGTACAGTTATAATTAACATACACTTCTGCAAGTAGCTCACATTGCACACAGAACAGTTACAGAGAACAGTTAGGATCAGGTTTTATAAACAATGACAAAAAGCAAGATGAAGAAGAAGTACTTACTTTTCAACTATATTATCTTGTTGCCTGACAAAAAACTGATATAGCTCAAATGGAGAAGTCTTATCTCTGTTTAGCCAAACTGCATTGCCCGCAGTCTTTCCCAGTTTATCTCCAGTAGTACTGGTAATAAGAGGTACAGTAATTCCAAACACATCTGTTCCTGTCATCCTGAGAAAGAGAAGAGTCACCAAGTGTTTAAAACAATAAAAATAAATCACTTCTTGGTAAAACTGACAAAAATATAAGCATTCTGTAAGATTCTATCCTTGATATAAAGCAGTTAAATAACACAGGGGGGCGAGGGGCAAAAGATGCCAGAACACTGTTTTGCGAAGAGTGCTTTAGGGAAAAAACCCCCACCCCACCTTGAACTTAGAAGTTTAAGTTCTTTTGTGTGTAACGAAGAAGTTTACACACTTTGAATAAGCAGTTTCATGAGCAACAGCGCTAGCAAATGCAGGTGTCCTGTACGTTTTGTGTTGCGCTCTGCGCGCTAACTGAAGCTGCTGGTGTGGCTGGGATGCTCGTAAGCAAGGCTTTTCTTCTGTGCTGATGCTCTCACGTCTCCTAACAGTCAAGCGCGTAACATGAAGCAGCAGCATCGCCTCGTGCTCACCGACCAGCCGCTTGCACGCTTCTGCGAATTTTCCAAGACTCACGCCGAGTCTGGCAGGTAAGCGAAAGCTCACCGTCATCTTTCTTACTTCCGAGAGAAGAAACGGAACCACCTTTACCAGCAGCGCACCACGGCTGCCCCTGCTTCGGTGCGACGACGCCAGCAGGAGACCGGTGGCGATTTCGCCCCGCGCTTCGGGACATTTTTGGTTCTTGGGTTCGCTAATGCAAGAGCCCATCCTTTCCCTTAAAAATCCACTGGCGTTTCGCGGAAACGGCTTAAAACCGCGGCCAGAAGGTAC